CCATGCTAGCTCTGTAAACAAACAAGTCAGCTGATGAGACGTCACGTCTTTTACTGCGCATGCGTGTCACATCAGTGCTGTGTAGCGTTCACACAGGAGTCTGATGCAGGTCACATTTAAAATGTAATGTGAACGTTCACACATCGGATTTTTTCAAAAAATCGGAACTGAGCATTAAGACCTGCAGTGTGAACGTAGCCATAGAGTGATGTAAAGTTTGCATCCTGCAACACATACAACGAAAAAAATACTGTGCAGGGGATGCACGTTAAAATGTTTCAATAAAACTAATTTATTAGGAATTTAAAGATAATAGTGAGTATAGTGAGTTTTCTAGGCTCACTGCAGAAAATGTGTAGTGTAGCAACACTCAGTTTAAAGCAGCCTACATGCTCTCAGATATTATATTTTTTATTTAGTAACTTCTAATAATTTATTTGAATGCAACCTGCATTTGACTTTGATTTGATCCTTTTTTTACTTTACATTATTTGATTTAGGAAATGTTTTGTARTTTGACTTTCGCACGATTTAGCCTGTTGATATGTTTACAATATGTTAAAGACTGCGTTACTGATAGCAGGTAAATTTAACTATTTTTTCTAAAGTAAGGTGATCTTATGGTTTATTTTTTCCATATCATGTAGCCAGTAGCACTCATAACTGAATCAAAAAAATTTCAACCAATTCATGTGATTCGTATCGGTGACTGGGACTCATAGGTGATCTGTGTCRGAATGGGCAGCATAAAACCTGATGAGAGCATCCCTACTTGAAACAATCCAAACGTGTTTTAACTGGACATTCAGTGCTTCCAGCAGAGAATAAGGGGACAGTGGCTGATTTTCAGATCTTTGTGGAGGCAGAAATGWTTGGTGGATAGGACCGGCTTCTCATCTAAGTATTCTCCGATTGCTGATCTCCCAAAATTAAGGAAATTTATCAGTGCACCAGTTGTTAAAATAAATTAAAAATGTCAGAAGGCAAATATTGCTACACCAATCTGAAGTCATTATTTCAGATTTGGCTTTCACTTTGGTTGTGCAGCCTGGATCTGAGCAGATTTTACATAGAATTAAAGCCACTGACTGTTAATACGATGTCTGTCGAACTCATACAGATCTTAGATAAGTCAAGGAACGAGATAACTTCTATGCTTTCTAGGAAAAGCAAAACAATTATTGTAAATAGTGAATAAAAAAGTGACATGAAAATAGAATTTGAACATGGAAGAATTTAGAGCAGATACCAAACTGGAGGGTCACAGAGAGTTAAGTGGTTGCTCACTTGGTGTGTGTTGTGTCACAGAGCTGTTGCTGCGCTCCCCAGTGACCAGCTCTCCTATCCAGTTCTATAATTGCATTTCTGGGCACACACACGCTCACACAAAGCAGTGACCAGTGGGTCAATTGCTCAGCTAAATGTGTTTTCCTTCCCTTCGCACCGAGGGTTGAGTTGAATCGTGCCGGACTGACCCTGGGCCAGCCCGTGTTGCCAGCAGACCACTGGTACCATTACATCTCCCTGGTCACATTCAGCTCTGGTCTCAGAACTAACAGAGCTCACACTGGACAGGAGCGCAGTGAATGATGGATGAGCAAAGAAACAAAGGAGGAGGCAGACAGGAGAGAGGAGAGAACAAACTGCTGTGACTGAAAGTGATGCTGGAGCTCTGAAAGGTCAGTTGGCCATCCAACCAGCAGACAACCGGACATCCGCACACCATCACACGGCAGCAGCAACAGCCAGGCCTCTTCACAGAACTAATTACCTGCTCTGACCCGTTCAAAACACAACCAGCACAGAACAGCACGAGGCCYGTGTGTTTGTACCTCTGAAGCCTCCCTCCAACAAAGCTGTAGCTCTGATCCGCTTCTGCCCCGCCCACTCGTACTCCTCAAAGCCCCGCCCGTTTTCTCCGTCCATGTCCACCGAGTCCTCGTCAGCTAAAGCACCCTCGCGCTGTCACATAAAAACAGACAGGAACAGGTTACAACAACAGACACAACAAGAACTCCACGTAATCTTTGAAAGCACAATTGTTTGTTTTAATTCATTTATGACACATTCTGTATCCTCTTTTATGTCTTAAAGCTGGGGAAATCAGCCATTGCATAACTTGTATTGTACAAGAAAAAGTTGGATAATATCTAAACTTTGGTATTTTTTTTTTTGAATGGCACGTGTTTACTAAAAATTAAAAGAACGATAACATGTTTAGTTCTGTCCTGATGAGATTGAACACATTCAGTCCATTACAATAACTAGTAGTGAGGCATTATCCACATTGACAGATATCTTAAACATTTTTCATGGTTTAAAAATACATTAATTTCACAAAAAACAGAAGTGCTGTGAATAAAATGAACAGAAAACTACAACTAAATTCTGAATGAAAGTCTTATGTTTAAAGCGTGCTAAGAAAAAGGAGGTATTAGTATGACGTGACTGCAATATACCGCCATGGAAAGGAAGTTAGGAGGTGGAGGAACAGCTGCTAATTGTTTCTGCAACTACAGGAAGTAGAGAGATGAGTGGAAGAGAAGATAGGCACTCCAGTTTTTTTTTTTTTTTTTTTTAGGTGGGTAGGCAGGGTTCTGGGACCCGATCGTACTACCTGGATCAGGCATTGTTCCACATGTCTACTCATCTCCTCCTCGCTCCCAGCCAGTGGGGCACTGCACAGCGGACATACCTGGCCCCCCTCCTCAGGCTTCCTCCTCTTCATCTTCCCTATACGGGCTGGACGAGCACAAGTGGTAAAGAGAAAGAGAAAAAGGGGAGACAAATTATAGTTAGAATGTAATTCACTGCTTTCCGACCGCACAGAAGACTTCAAAAACRCTTCAGGTGTATTTACTCCCATCTTGCAGAAGAAATTCATGATAAATGCACGGAGGAAATCTCAAATAGATCCTAACGTCTGCTCTCAGGTCTGTGCAGACCTRCTGAACGGTAATGAAAGACGGTTAATGAGGCTAAACTTGAAAATGTTCAGAAAAACGTCCGGAAGAGGAGACGATCCTCTCCTCTCTCTTTACAGCAGGCTCTTTCACTTTACCCCCCTTTTTGTTTTACTCTCATCCCTCTAAGTTCCCTCCTGTCACAGCTTCACCCCCACCACCACCCCTCGCCCACACATTTAATTAGAAATTTAACAGGGCTGAACAGCCGTCATTGCACCCGGAGTCTCTGTCGTTTTTCCTTAACTGCAAATGGCGCACAGGGACATTAATTTTTAGCTGGCTGGGAAAGCAGCGGAGGCCAAGGGGGACTGTGGGGACGGACAAAAGAAGAGAGGACGACATAAGCCTGTGACTGCAGCATGAGAAAATGAAAGGAAAAAATAGGAGGAACGTTCACTCCCTGACACTAATTAGGGTGAGTATTGTTAAAAGAGATTGCCAATTATGTCCTGGCCTCCCCCAAATCCTGAAGCTGCTTCTTTCTCATGTGAAAATCATCCCTGATTCCTCATGCTGTCTTCACTCGTCAAAGACCTCACTTACCATAGAAAATTAAAAAAAAAAAAATAAAAAAAATTTAGAATGTGATATAAGAGTTTTCTGAAACACTGTTGAGTATATAATCAAAAAACCAGACAGGAGTAGTTGAAAGAATAATGTTAGAACACAGAAATGTACTRCTACAACCASTGTAAGGTTTGTTTACTGTAAAACWGTTTAAATCCCTARGTGGCAACRTGAAACCAAACATTTAACAAAAGTTAAATAAAATTACTGAAACTACTTTGTTTTGTCTGATAACCCTCTTTTCTGTGAACAAATCGACAAATGTCATCAGTTTGTATCACATAAAATAWATGCCATTCGATCTCATAAATTTAAAAATAAACGCCTTTTTTTTTAACTAAATTTTGACACCTGATCTTAGACATGTATATATAAAAAAGAATAAATACATTTTCTAGCTTTAAATGTTGCCAAAGTAGTGAAATATAAGTTGTTTACTTCCTGGTTATGTTTTAATAATCCAGAGTAAGCCGAGAAATAAGTCATTAGACATTTTTACTCTAGTGAAACATTTATTTATTCATGTATTAGGATGCATGTATATCGAGTTGAAAACRGATGTGTACATACCATTCAATCTTGTTTGCCTGTTTGCACGAACCCGTAAAAATGTCTGCAAGAAGAAATAAAAAAAGATGGAGGAAAATACTCGTTAGATAATAAGGACACAGTATAATGGTTTTACAAGTAAAATTATAGCTGTCCTGAATGGGATTGCTTCGGATACTGGGAGCTTATCGACTGAGAGTAAACAGTGTAAATATTTACACCTACTTCTCTCTTGTTCTCCACCTCCTCCATAACATTCAGCTCTGTCACAACTCCTTGAAAAGCCGCTAAAACTCGCAGTTTCAAAGAGCTTCTACATGTCTCCAAAGACTAAACATCACGACAAACTAAATGCTGTGGTTAAAATTTACTGCGGATGGAAAAGGATTGAAACTGGCGCCTGTGTCGTCTAACCGGACTCATATCCGACGCCATGTTGGCTTGTTTTGATCACGTGACCGCCGCAGAAACGGAAATAGGTAGACGTCACTTGTTGTTTTGCATTTTGGGCACTAGGGGGCAGCAACGAATTTAATTAGAGTGTTTAAAATAACTTTTTTTTTACTACCACTGCTGCTTTTATTATTATAAGACTTACAGAGAATGCTTAGAAATATCACCAAAGAAAACAAACTTAAGACAAAATTTTCTTAAAAACTTTAGCCATGATTACTGTAGATGTCTTAACATTTTTCAGTATTTCACAAGTTACATCCAACTGGTGTCTTACCTGACTCACATGTAGTCAGAGTTACATGGTTTTTGTCCTGTACAATGTAGATAAATATTTTTTTTCAAAATCATAGCACAATTTTAATTTTTCTTTTCAATCATGATTTCATTTAACTTTCTTAACTTTCATTAGGAGTATTATTACMAATTAATTTAAGAATTTATCGTTGGACAGATGCTTAGGTTTGCAAATATCAGATTTGTTTAATGACAGTTCAAACAAAGKGCTTTGTAGTAAAGCTTTAACAAATTAACTGCTACAAAGTGAAAACACGTGATAATGTCTTTAAAGCCTGAACCGTTCCTAARATTTGATTAATTTCTACAAATTCAGTGCAATTGCTGTTATAAAACATTAACACATTTTGTGTGTTTGGGTTCTGAAAGTCTGCAAACATCTGGTTAGTTCAATTCAACATTCTGACTTAATTAAAATGATGCAACGTTTCCTATAAATAGCCAGTTTCCAAAAATCTTTAAACCAGTCAGTCTTGTATCAAACAATGAAGCCAAAAAGGTAAAGCTAACACTGGTGGTTCCTGGTAATACATTTAGTCTGGTAAATTATTAACTCCTACTAAATGCTTAGTTTTAAATATTCRCTGTAAAATATAATTTAACTGTCAAAACATGACCCAGTTAATTGCACAGTTTTCCTCTGGAGTCAAACAAAAGCAAAATATGAAATGTTCTCACAACTCTAGTAAATATAACATATACCATGCTTTATTTTTTTGTGGCAACTGTAGATAATTTTTTATTTATACATTTTTCTTAGACTATCTCAAACATTAGACTGCCTGGGGTAAATTACTTGCATCATTAAAAATAATGGCCATAGCAATAAAAGTACAGTATTACGAAATTAATTGAGGTCAGATTCATTCGTCCTTTCYACCTCTTTTTCTTACAAAATGTACACTTCAGGTCTACAGGGATTCAAACCCTCAGGCCTGTATGCTGTAACTATATGCTGACTAAAGCACCATGTCTCCAAGTTATGGATATCATGTCTTTGACACTTCAACAGCCCATCTACCAGCTGGGCCTTCACCTCTCCCTCCATTCTCCTTCCTTCCCTCTCTATCGGCACTTGACTTTTAGGCCTACCGGCTGCGCATCAGCACCTTATCATTATGATACACTCACTGAATAGTGTCGAATAGGTCAGGTATTCAGAAGACGTAAGAAGGCAGAGTGCTCTCAGACCGACTGGCAGAGAGGAGGTGGCAAAGGCTCCCGTTATGCTTTATTTTCCGGGTGCTAAAAAGAGTCACCATTGACTTAATCATTTGTATAATATAAGGTGATTTCAGCAGTTTCACCAAATGAGAAAATCTCCTTCATTGCAGGAAGGTCTTTATGAGCTGTGTCAACTTAAACGTATGGATGGAACGTCTGCATGGACTTAATAGTTCTTATTTTATGGTGGTAGGGGGGAAACCCACTTAACCCTGAGATTCATCACGGCCAGAAGAATTGCCCGAATAAACTTTGACGAATAGAAAAGATAAAAGCAGTCGGAGCGACGTCTGAGATTTAAAAAAAAAAGGCCTGTAAGTCAACTTAACTGCTGAGACAGCAGAAAAAAAACTGAATTTAATATTCTGCAACAGTGATATGTGTCATAATTACAGAAATGCAATACTTGATTCAATACTTACTTTTATGGTTTGCTGCATTGGTGATACAGCCAATATATTAACTGTTACTATTGTGCRCTTTATCTGCTGATATTTGATTTTATATTTTATTTAAGCTTAGACGAGGCAACATTTATTTGTTCAGTTTAGCAATATCTCATGTGGAATAAATGGCACAGGTAGAAAATCAGCAGCCTTATAAYGAAGTGTTTTTTAATCATATCTGTAAATAAAACAATTTCCCAATAAACTCCTATTGTGTAGAAATTGTCATTACCTTAGTGTTTGAAGCAGTATAGAGATAAGAATTTACCAAATTGCCTTTTTATGTTGAGTAGCAAAGTGGAATATAAACTGATTTTTCACCTTACTGGTTAATTCACCACAGAGACTATAGCATTACTTAATAATTATTGAAGATGTGTAGATCATTTTACTGTATACCTGATGACTGTAAAACCAATAGATTGAAAATAAAGGAGCACCACACATTTTTATCTATTTCAACCATGCAGCAAAACAATATCTTTTATGTGTGCTGCCATATTGGAGGTTTGGAACCAGACTGTTGTTCTGTGAATGAACAAGTTAATAACACCTGAAAAAAAATTGTTACAATTTTTTTTCATATTAGACAAAAATCAATCAATCAAACAAACAAACAAAAAAAAAGTCTTACTTACGAACATGGAGGAGAGTTTTTTTTTTTAAATTTATACTAGGTCTACCCTATTGTGGAGGT